GAACTGTGATGGAAAGTTTGTGGAGTTTTTCTAATTTTGGCATAAAATCAGTGTATGAAACGAAATAAATGTATTAAATGAATGCATGAAATTAGCAATACTTTTCTAAATAATTAATGAACATTAAACAAACTGTAAAAGTTTGTAATTTTTGTAATACTTTGTTGAATTTTTTTTAACTTTCGAACAAAGTTTCAATTTTGAATTTATTTGGTTTTCGTTTTGTATATCGATGGCTGAGTGGAAGATAGACCTATCTCAGAAAACTTGTCAAGAGCACTCTACTGCAGAATTTTATTGAAAACATCCTATCTCAAAATTTGGTTGAAGAACGTCCTATCTCAGAATTCGGCTCAAAAAAGCCCCATCTTAAACGAAAATACATTGAAAATGTGCTGAGATAGAGCGTTTTTGAATCGGCAGCTGACCGAACTCTGAGATAGAGCGTTCTTCAACTAAATTTTGAGATAGGATATTTTCAATAAAATTCAGAAATAGGGCGTTCTTGAAAAGTTTTCTGAAATAGAGCGTTGTTGAAAAGTTTTCTGAGATAGGGCGTTTTCGAACTGGCTGCCGAGATAGGTCGATCTTCCACTCATATATGTGCCTTATCAGTATTAACAAATGTATATAAGTACTAGAATGTGTATCTGACTTTTAAATATGTAGATACAATTTTTTTTGAATACTTATATAAAAGATATTTACAAGCATACATATGTGCCCTATCTGTATTTACATAAATACTAAAATGTGTTCCTGAATTAAAAAAAAAAAAAAAGAAGTTATAAAGATGTTTATTTTTTTAATAATCAAAAGAAATTTACAAGCATTCGAAATAGTTTTGTATTATATGGTTTCTATATAAATTGTCATTTCGACCTGAAGTTGAGATTGTGGGTACTTCAACAATTGCATCGATGATATTATTTATTTCATTTTCGTAGACTGCTGGTGCGACACAATCGTTGTTTAAGTTGCAAATGTTATGTAAAACTGCGGTTGCAACGATTATACATTCCACTTCCCTGAGATTCATTCGTATTCCCAGCGCAAGAACTGGAAATCTTCGTTTCCACACACCGTATTGACGTTCAACACAATTACGAGTTCTGATTTGCGATTCGTTATATAACGCCTCAGCCGGAGTTTGTACTTTTAACAAAGGTGTCATTATCCACCGATTGCAAGGGTAGCCACTGTCGGCAACGACTATTGCATTCCCGAACTCCCCTGCTTCAAATCGGCTAAATATTCTTGAATTTTTAAGTATTATTGCGTCATGTGACGATCCTGGCCAACGGGCTACGATGTCCATGATGTTCAGTTTGCTGTCACAAAGCGTTTGCACATTAACTGAAAAGTAGTTCTTTCGGTTTCGGAAGAGTTCTGCTTCATCCCCACCTAAATAGTGACGCATTTTAGATAATCCTCATTAGTTGAAATTATTTAATGTACTGACCTGGAGATAGTACTCTTATATGTGTGCAGTCCATGGCAGCTAGCACGCGTGGAAACTTTGCCGTTTTATAAAATTGTCTCTGAATTTCTCTTTGGCTTTCTAATTCCAAGGGGACTTTTATAAATCGTTGTCTTAACAATGCAATGTTGTGACACACTCTCCTTATTGCGCGACAGGAAGAACTTTTTGAAACGCCACACAGGTCACCGCCAGTTCTTTGCATGCAGCCAGTTGCAAAGAAACGCAGTGTTAGTAAAAGCATTACTTCGGGAGAGATCGCACCGTTTCTACAATATTTATCAAAAAATAGCAGAATTTGTAATCGAAGGTACTTTAATGTTTACTTACTTGTTAGTTTTGTGCCGAATTTCGTTCCTAATCAGTTCAAGTACCATCCAAGCTGATTGTTTAGTCAAACGAAACCTATACCGAAAGTCGACTTCATCATAATATGTAAAACAATTACGTCGTTCCCTCATTATACGATTTACGATACGATACAAATTTCGCACTCCATATCACTTTCGTCTTCAGATTCCATTTTTTACAATATATTTATCTTCTGCTACTTTCAAATCAGCTGATAGAAAAACGTGAACATAGCTGCATATCATCGTATTTAAATAATATTTAAATGGGAAAAGGTGACCATTTAAATAATATTTAAATGGGAAAAGGTGACCATTTAAATAAAAATTAAGTCAAATGGTGAAACTGAAAAAAATAATTTTTCACTTAAATTGCTTTCGTGAAACTGGCTGTAAGAAAGCGATACTATCCTCTCTCAATAAAAGAATTACTAACATAAAGACATAAAATCAGCTGATGAATTTAGTTCTGTAGCTGAACATTAAAAAAAGGCTGATTGTAAAAAAACGATTTGTTCGCAATACATTTATCGTCGTTTAAAGTAAAAAACCGAGTATCAAGATTATGCAAAACCTCGTATGTGAGGTTGGCCAAATCTTATACTACGTTCAAATTGACGAGCTAAACATGTTAAATGGGCTTGAACCAGTTAAATGAACAAAACATGTTCATAAACAAGTTAAATCGCATGCAATTGTTGTTGGAAAATTGAACCAGTTAAATCATTTAACTCGTTTGAAAACCAGTTTAGCGTTGTATCAGAAAGCTTTCTGCTTCAGCCAATCAGAAAGAGCCAAAAGCTTTCATTTGACACGCCAATGTTCAAAAAATTTATATTCTGAAAAATATTAAAATTTAAAAATTATCAAAAAATATCAAAAGTGTATGCATGTCTGGCCGCCAAAAAAGAGGCCAAGGCGGTAATTAGTTATTTTCCATGAGGTCTCATCGTACGCAGAGATAAATAGTGCATACAAACTAAACATTTTGAAGTCGCTAAGTAATCCGTATGCGTCAATATCATGAAGCAGACATTCGCACAAAACAAATTGAAACACAAAAACTTGATTTTGAATATTTTTTCCGAATTTTTATTGGTAATCAAACCACCGTCAAAGTTAACTCCAAATGTTCAATGTGGACGATTGTGTTTTCCGAAAAGCTCTATTTCATTTAACAAGTTAAATGGGGCCAATTTGAACGTCATATTACAGGAGAGAGTAAAACGTGGTTTATTTCAAAACGGCTCTCTCTTTTACCCCTAATTATCTCTACCTTTAATACTTACATATCGATATTTTGGTATAAATGGATACAGCTAGATGGCACGAGCTCCCGGCGAGCAAATCCCATTTTTGGCACATTGTACATATAAAAGCATTGAAAGACAGCAACGTTGATCTGGATTAACGCCGCAATTGATCTGATCAAAATTGTGCCTTGACAGACGGCATAATGCCACGGCCAGGAGAATATTCAATTATTTTTTTTATTGATTCAATTATAACTTCTATATTTTTTTAAGTTGTTTTTAGTTAGTTGTTTTAGACTTTTTTAGTAAAATTAAACTCTAAAAATTTAAATTAACTAATAATAAAATAAAAAATGAGAAATAAAATAAAGCAAACCAAAATAAAATAAAAAACAATTAAATATATAAATCAAATAAAATGTAGAAAAATAAAAGAAATAATAAAAACAACATTTTTTTGGCCATAGCTCCAACCGAGGATCGAACCTGGGACCTACAGGCTTGTAGTACGCAGCTCGCCACTCGGCTACCGCGGATGAAGGAATCGGTTGCTTTATTTGCTCAGTTAGCGTAGAACACAAAGAAACTGCAAAACTAGCATAGACATCCACCCTGTCGTCGGTAATGCAGTCACCGAAATAAGTTTTTATTCATTTTAAATTAGATTCCTATTTGAATTAGTATTAGTGACTGCATTACCGATGAAAAGGTATATCGTCACTAGACACGAATAAAGGCGCGAGCTCAAAAGTTGACCGCGAAAAAAGACGCACAAAAAGAAATGTTTTTTTTTCCGACTTTTGCAAATTGAATAAGTTCTCTGTAAGATGGTTTGTTACAAAAAAATACGTGAACATACATATATGGTATTTGGGGTATGGAAAAAGGGATATTTCCAGCAGTAAACGTTTTAGTGTGGGCAACAATGATATTTTTGTAATTATTGTACCATGGTTTCAAACCCATTTATTTATTATTTATTTCATGGTAGGAGAGCTTCTCAAACAATATAGAAGCAATTTTTTCGATTCAAGTTTTTGAAAAGTAATGAATATCTAAATCCCGGGACTAATACCGGGATCCCGGGATTGTGACAACGCCATCCCGAAAATCCCGGTATCAGAAAAAGCCGACAAATTAACATCCCTACTGCCAACGTTGCATGAACTCTGAATACATCTGTTCGTACTAATTCGGACTGAGTGATTGCATTTTAGTAGATTTCACGAAAGTAGGGTTAAGATGGATTCAGTGATAGCCCCGATAGTTAAAAAATATATACTATACATATTTATGTAGAAACATATGTAAATAATTACGTACAAACATTCGTATTTGATCCATTATCTAAAATGTTTCTATTTCTAGCGCGGCTGAAACAAGTTTGCTATTAAAAATTATTCGCAAAGGACTGGTTGAATCGAACTTGGATTTGGAAGTGCAACGCAAGGACCCTAAATCACCCTTACATTCCGTTAAAACTTTCGAAGCCCTTCATTTGTAAGTAATTTTTCTATTTATTAGTAACATAATTTATTGTTTGCGCCATCATGAGTACCTTTGATTGTTCAAGGTTTTTATTAAGTGAGATATGTTGGTCGGATTTTGTACTCCGTACTTTCTCGCTTTGGATAAGAATGAATTTCTTACAGCAAAGAATAAACATAGTTTCCGAGTAATAAGCCACATCTGTCAATTTTTCCGCATTCAATTGAAGAAAATTCTAAAAGATACAAGAAGAATAATGGCTAAGGCTCTTCGGACATTACGCGCCTAATCATAGCAGTGTAATCGTGTGTTCATGCCGAATGCAATTTTTTTTTTAATTCTGAATAGAATGTAAAATTTTCATTAAAATTTGATATTTCTTAAATTTTCGTACGAAGTTTGAAGCTATACTTTTATAAAAAATTAAGGAACATTAAATAAAAGAAATATAGGTATATGAAATCCGACCGTTTCGAGAGCAGTTGCTTCTCTGCCTCGGAGCTTGCCTGTGAGAACCTATCGTCATCGGAAGCGTTGCCGATCGTAAGACTCCGATGCTGGGACCCAGTGTCTCGATCCTTACCTGGCTTCTTTTCGACGGCTGCCTCCCTGCCCAAAGTAGGCTTGGAGACAACACCCTCTACATTCCTAGTAGCATTCATAGACTGCACAGCTTGAGATTCCACTGCCTAGCCTGAGAAGTCGATGGTTATCGACACCAGATGACATTCTCGCCCACCATCTACCGCCGTACCCCCCGTTCTTCTCCCACGGTCCTTCAGTAGCACACCTCCTCCCTCGGGGGTTTCTTTTATGTCTGCCACTCCCCGCTCGAGAAAGACACGGACTCAGCCGCCCCTGACATGGAGAGCAGACGTCGTTGTGAGTGGCCCCTAACCTGGGGAACCGACGCTCACTAAGGCGTTTATGCTATGGGTTATATGCCGTCCCTAACATGGTGAGCACGTGTACATAACAGCCGTTAAGGCATGTTACCCAGGTTGTACCGCGGGGAGGCGACTTAAATTACACTCCCAAGCCTTAATATACCACACTTTATAGGCACTCAGCCCTGTACTGCATTTCGACTCAACTTGAAAAGTAAAACGATATACATTTCGAGTAATTTTTATGATGATGTTCTCAATTTCGAATGAGATCGAACAAGTTCGAAATCGTTTTCATTTAGATTCGATAATCAGTTAGAACAGCTGTTGTCAGTCATTTATATACAGCCCTCTTCTGAAATCCAAGTCGGTATCGCATGCGAATCGGAATTCAATTCCCATTCGGTATTTAAGTGGTCTTCTATAATCCGATCGGAACTTTTGTTTCGAAGTTAATATCGAATCCGATTGTAAAAAAAACGAACAATCTGGCAACACTGTTTTCAAGTGTGTCAATTTTATCTGGTTAAATAAAACCAGGAAAATAAAAATGAGTTCAATTGTTTAATTGGCGATTTTGCTGAATAATGAGCAGCAAACAAATGAAAAAGTGAAGCCGAAAAATTTCCGCGATCACAGCAATTCCATGAACTACCTGAATCTGCGTAAGTAGTATAAGGCTAATTCCACGGTAATCGATACCGAATGAAACGAAAATAAACTTCTGAATTTTTGTGTATTATTTCTAATAAATAAGAGTAAATAAATCTAACTTTCAAGACTAGGAAGCCAAAATTTCGAAATTTATCTCAAAATCGGAGATTTTGTTACTTTAGGTTGTACCATTTAGAAACTCATATGAGAGGTTAATGTTCTTCAAAATTGACAATACTGATTTTCGTAGTCTATTGTCTTTTTTGCATTGTTTAAACGGTCAATGCAGAGAACAATTCGACAGCACTATAACTGTGTTATTTTGCGTTTTTCGGGCAAGTACTGATTATTTTATTATATATGTATTGAAGCTAAGCATATTTTAATGTCACGCCCGTCACAAAATGCAAACAATAGTTTTTTTTTTTAAAGAAAACACATCTTGCACAGTGTAAAAAAGCTGACGAAGGTAACGCTATGACACAGGCGAATATGTGCGAATTGCTTTTAAGTATTTATGTGCTTTTCTTTTATGTTGGTCACGCCCGTAACATCCGGCACAATTTAAAGTTTGGCAAATTTTAATCAATTCGGTCAGGGACTGCTACCGTTACTTATCTGCTAATCTGAAAGGTATCATATATCTGTTTGTGAACACCGATGATAAAGCTATCTAATCAAAGATATCTTGCTCGAGCGATGGGAAAACTAAGTTATGCTGTCACGGATACAAAAGAAAACATTATTTCACTTGTCAGGGTAAAAACAGTATCTCATACGGTTTAGGTTCGGTTATCTCGGCTGCCCTTAGGCCACCATGGACCCATTATGATGCCGTATTAGAGACTCCATATGTCTCTCCTCTTACCCTAGAAATGGAACCACTTCGTAGCTCTGATGAAGCGCATAAAGTCATAGATACTGGCTGAATCCGGTTCGGCCAGACAAAGGAATAATGGAGGAACGATCATCGACGAGCTCTTGCCAGAGTAGGACAGTGGCATAAGTAGTGCTCTACGCTTTCGATTTCCTCCTCATGACGGCAGCTACGACAGTAGTCGTTTGACTGCAAACTCATTCTAGTGGCGTGGGTTCCCATCAGGCAATGCCCGGTGAGAACTCCAATAAGATGTCGCAGCAGTGGTCGCTCCAAGTGGAGGAGAGGGCGAGATCTACGCTTGTCCACCTTAGGCCAGATATGTTTTATATTTGCCCGTCCGGCAAGTTATTATCCAGCCAGAGCTTGCAAGAAGATAGCGGAATGCCTGCATTACGGGCTGTACTGATTGCAGACAACAAGGTCGCTTCCTTTGCTAGTTCATCTGCAGTACAGTTTCCCGGTATGTCTTTGGGGCTTGCACCCATACAACATTAGTGACGTAACATCTTGCCAGTTAATTAAGAGTACGTCTACATTCCATAACAATCTTCGACGTATATTTGTCACTATTAAGTGCTTTAATAGTCGCTTGGCTATCAGAAAAGATTGATACCGCCTTCAGATTAATTAGAGAATCGATCAGCCAACTTGCAGCTTCGTTTATTGCTTAGTTCAGCCTGAAAAACTCTACATAGATCTGGCAGACGAAAACTAAGCCTAAGTGAGAATTCTTGCGAGTATACCCCACTTCCTACCTTCATCAGTGTAGATGGCTGTTGAGTCAATACGAGATCAGGACCGATTCCTCCTCCCATTCTTCCCTTGAGGGGATCGTTGTCGTGTCACACCATTTGATTAGTGCATTTAATCTAATAGCATTAGAGATTGCCTGTCGTTTACCATATAGGTCCACAGGTAGAAAGTGAAGCAAGGTCTCTAGGGCTTAAGTCGGCGTCAATGGTAGCGCTACCGTGATCATCATGCACGCCACCCATTGGACCGTTGTTAATTTGTTTCTTATTGTAGATTTATCTACGGACGACCACCAAACCGTTATGCCGTAGAACAGAACGCTGTGTACATCCAGTTCACAATGTGAGGCTCCATTCCCCATTTTTTCCCTATCGCTGATTTACAGGCATACATAGCAGTTATAGCTTTTTTGCAACGCTCTTCTAAAGGGTGAACACACCAAAACTGCGACACGTAGAAATTACTACCAGAAACAAACTAGCAGACTTTGAAATTATTATTTTTTGTATTATATAACTTGGAAGTTTGGATGTTATTAAAATGTTAAAATATTAGTTATTATTTGCTCCATATGCAAGTGATCGGTATTTTCATCGCACACGCGCCATCATGTTCTGCACGACTGCATCATCGACTTTACGCGATGCGCACAACTACTTTGTTTTGCACTCTTCAATATTTTTCACTGTTTCACCTGTTTTCTGCAAGATTTCTTTGACAATTGACCAATATTCCCCAATAGGACGTGGCTCTGGGCTATTGGGTGGATTGCAGTCGTGAGGTACAAAATTGATGTTATTTGTATTATACCACGGCAATGTGTCCTTGGCATAGAGGCAGGTTCCCACGTCCGCCTAGAACAGTGGCCTACTCCTTATCTGTTGATAAATGACAGAAGACGCCTTTTGAGGCACTCATCCCGAAAAAACTTGATCATTCATTGTCCCGGATGGGGAAAAAGGGCAGCTCTTACGGCCACAGGATCAAATAGCTTGCCAAACCATGTGGTTTTTTTGGAAATTTGGGCTTCATTTTCAGCTTACAACTTTCAGGGGCATCTTGACGACTTGCACTAGTATAAAAATTTTGACCTGCAATATATTTTGAATTTTTATAGCAGTAGGTTTCGTAGTCCATAACAATGCAGTTGTATTTTTAATTTAGAATTCATACAACTTCCGAATGCGGGATTTCGCTGTAACATTCTACTTTGCGCCTCGGTCTGGCGCTGTTTGAGCTGTAGAACATCTCAATGAAGCTTTCCGCTTTACCTTTTGTACGAAAAACTGCGATCTGTGTACGGATTTTGCAACATAACGTGACAAAATCTTCGGATTTCGCGAAAACGCACTGAGGACCTTCCGAGCACTGTTTTTATCACTTTGACCATGCTAACCCCCGCTCCCTGGTTTTCTCGTAACTGCCAGGCCTTATTTGTACCGATTAAAACCCTGCAAACTGTCGAAAAGTGCAATCTTTAATTTTTTAGCAATTTTACGTGTACTTAAGGCCGGATCATTTATAAACTCGTGCAAAATGGTTTGTCTCGTTTCTAACTCGGTTGCCATTTTTAACTCAACTAGGAATCAAATTCAAATGAAATTTCTTCTACGTCCAACTAAGCTCATGTGGTCAGCTTATGGTATTTGAATTTCAAAATATTGAATTCGTTTTGGGTAAGTTATAAGCTTCCCAAAGTGTCGCAGTTTTGGTGTGTTCACCCTTTATATTGCGCCGCCAATTTAAATTTCTGTCAAGAATAATGCCCAGATATCTAACCTCCTCCGAGAAAGTCAGTGCGATGCCGTTCAAGGAAGGAAATTGTAGCTGGACAGCTT